TCGAATCTCCAATCTGCTCCAGGTGTGTTAGCAAATAGTCCTAGTTCAGGTATGATTTCACTTCAGAATAAAAAAATACATGTGCATAGCACAACAGCAGCTAATGAAGAAAAGCTACATACATACTTAATGAGTCCACATACCAAAAAACAAAGAAAGGAGAAAGTAGAGGAAATGCATTATGCTTGACTATCCTCATCTCTTTCTAAGCTTAGGTGATGAGGGAAAGGCTGTCACTGTAATTTGCTTAGACTTTAGTAAATAATTTGGCACTGTTTCCCACAGTATTCTTCCAGAGAAGCTGCTTGGGCAGGTACACTATTTGCTGGACAAAGAACTGGATGGAGGGCCAGGCCCAGAGAGTAGTGGAGAATGGAGTTAAATCCAGCTGGCAACTGGTCACTACTGTCACTACTAATGTTCCCCAGGGGTTAGTATAAGGGCCAACTCTGTTTAGTACCTTAATTGATTATCTGGATGAGAGGACTTAAGCATATCCTATCTGTCAGTTTGCAGATGACACCAAGCTGGGAGGAAGTGTTGATCTGCCTGAGGGTAGGAAGGCCCTACAGAGGGATCTGGATAGGCTGGGTTGATGGTCTGAAGCCAATGGAGTGAGCTTCAACAGGACCAAGTGCCAGGTCCTGCACTTTGGTTGCTAATTCCTTTGCAGTGCTACAGGCTTGAGGCAGAGTGGCTGAAGAGGATCTGGGGACATTAGATGACAGCTGCCTGAACAAAAGCTAGCAGTGTGCCCAGAGGTGAGGGAGAGAAAGCTGAAAATTCAAGAGGGGTCTGTTTTACACTGCAGCATGGTCTCTGGTTCTCTCTGCAGTCCTCCCTGCAAGAACACACACCTGAAAAGAGTTTGCTGCACTTTGGAATGCTCAGTATATATCATGATCATGAGTAGGTTTGTGTATAGCTCCATGGCAAAGTTTCTTGGTAAAAACAGGTCAAGAACATCACAGCATGAGGCTACAGATGGGCCTCTGGAGCCCTGGCAATTTTCTGCAATGAAAACAAATGTCATTTAGACTCTCCCTCTAAATAACATTTTTGTAACTATTTCCTGTAGAGCTAAAAATGTTCTCTTTTTTTTCTCCGCGTTCTTCATTCTGTCTCTACTTCTATCCACCAAGGGCAATGTATGCTTGCAACTCACAGTTCTTCAAGTGTTCTCTCCTTGTAGGACTGACTTTGAATGAAAAGACTCGTATGTTTTAGGAAAAGGAACTAGCCTTTAGTCTGCTAATTTCCTTCAGGAGAGGAAAATATACCAGAAGAGGGAATCACTGATAGATTACTTGTATGCCTGTCCTAAGCTGCAGAATCTTAAGCAGAACCTGAATCAACCATTTCTTCAACAACCATTTGCTCCCTTCTCATAGCAACTGGGAGAAATGACAGGAACCTTTCTTCAGGGTCCCAGGTCATTCATGACAGAGCAGGCTTGACTTCTGCAAAACTCACCCTGGGCAACAGTGAGCCTTGCCTTGCCCCCTTCTTGTTCTCATATTTAGAATAAAATAGTTCATTTGGATGGGACATTCAGCAATCATCCAGTCCAACTACTTGACCGCTTCAGGACTATCCAAAAGTTAAAGCGTGTTACTGAAGGCATTATCCAAATGCCTCTTGAACACCGATGAATCTGGGGCATCAACAACCTCTCTAGAAAGCCAGTTCCAGTGTTTGACCACCCTGTCATTAATTTTTTTTTTTTTTCTAATGTCCAGTCTGAACCTTCCCTGCTGTAGCTTTGTGTTGTTCCCACATTCTGACAGTGCTGTCTGGACTGAAACTGTGACATGAGGAGGGCAGAGAGCAGAGCTAACTCAAGATAAAGCAAATAATTGTATGCATTTTGATGCACTAGCTAAACACAGTCCTATGAACAGTGAAAATATGCAACCTTGCTTTCCATTTTGATAAAGGAATTTGAGAACAGGTTTCAAGACTGCAAAAAGAGGATCATCAAATTTTGGGTATATTTGCGACTCTTTTCAGTTGACTTAATGAATAAATTACCTGTGAGTTTTCAAATGGAAATTATGGAGTTGCAATCAGATATTCAACTAAAAAAAGAGATCATATCTCTTAACTAGGCTTTTATAAGAACTATTTTGCAGAAAAAAACATCACTCGCTTCGCAGTCACACCTTATTCTCCTCATTGCTTTTCAGAAGCATGTATATTTGAAGTATGTATATTTGTGAACCCATATTGACTGTGTTTGATAATAACTTTGTTCTTTAACTGTCATTCATTAAAACCCTCAGGATAATCTTTTCTATGACTTTTCTAGAGCCTGAGGTTGGAGTGAGAGGTCTGCATTTTCTTGGGTCTTTTACAGGTCTGCATCTTTTCTTGGGTCATGAATTGGCTTCCTGTCATGAGAGACCTCCCCAGACTCCTATAACCTTTGATAAATTGTTGAGAGGGATTCAGCTGTAACATCTGCTAATTCCTTCAGTACTCTAGGGTAAAGCATATCAGGATCCATTGGCAACAAATGTTGAGCTGATGTGACTGCTTCCTTGCAATTCTGGTGAGCACAGATGGGAAGTCATTGCCCTCCAATCATAGCGCTCTAACTCTGAGGTCTGGGCAGCCCAAGGTCTGTCACTGCTATTAAAAATTGAGACAATAAAAAAAGCATTAAATGCCTCTGTCTTTTCCTCATCCTTACTTGTTAGGTGACTGTATGCAACAAGTATCTGTACAGTGTTTTTCTTCAGCATATTCTTGCTGTTGGCATACTTGAAAAAGTCTATTTTGCTATCTGAGACCGTGCTAGCCAGTGTTAACTTGAATTGATTTATCTAGACATCTTCTTTTTTCTTGAAGAATAGACAAACAGAAGGAAAAGCAGCTCCTCCCTTGCTGGCAGTGTATACTGACAAGCCCTAAATGTTAAATAGCATGTACTGCTCTCCAAACATAGGGATAGTGACGAGGTTGCCCCTAAATCAGGGTTATGTGTAGTTGTGAATTTAAGAGAATTCATGAACACTTCCAGGTTCTTTGACAAGAAAACCAAACCATGTGTACCTGAAAAGCAGAACAGCATCTGGAGGAAGACAAATTCCATTTCCTCCCCTCCCCAAGTGAATGTGGGTCTGCAAACCTCTGGTGCATCCAGCAGAACTGACTGCTTAATCAAGGCCAGCAGTGACCAAGCAAGATGTACATTGTGTCTGAGAGGACACATCAGAACAGAGAGGCAGCAAAGATGGGACTGAAAGCGAGAGACACTGTGGGACTGTTGAACAACATCTGCATATGGGAGTGGTAGTGCTTTCCCAAGGGGACCCACAGTACAATGTCTCACTCTGCCCACCCTCTGGAAAAGTGGAATGGTTCTGGCGTGACCAACATACCCACTGACATCAATAGAGCAACTGCTTTCCTACTGGCAGCTGGAACCTGGAGTGTCCACCAAGGAAGGATAACACAGAGGCAAAGGCTACGATGCAGCAAAAATTTAATGAAGCAAAGGAGGGAAATGAGATCATGGGGAGGAAAGACTCTGGTGCAGAAAGCATTAGGGACAGTTGATAGTCTGCGCTGCATGATCACAGTGGAAACGTTGCCAGCTGTCCGTCTGCCTTTTCCACAGAAGGCCATCCGATCAGATCCTCCCTATGCTGGCTTTGTGGGACAGACTGTCCAGGGGACCACAATGGTGAGCAGCAATGGTACAAGGAGAAAAAAAGGGAGTGGGAAAGGCAGAAATGGACCATGTCTTTTGAGAGCGCAGGCTGAACGCCAATGCTCTGTCTCAGTTCTGCTTCAAACTCCTGGGTCCCTGGAGTCTTTCTCCAGGGCCACTGCCAGCAGCTTTAGCAGGGGAAGAACCGCCTGCCACTGAAGCGGCTGCCAATGCCAGAGAGGCCAAAGCCTCCAGAGGAGATGGGCACGCCCTCAGAGCTGAGGATGCTGCCAACGGCAGCGGAGGTGGAGGAGCCCACGGCGGTGTTCTGCGGGAAGGAGCTGAGGATGGGTCCGGGCAGGGTCACCACCACGGGAGAGGGCTGGATGAAGACGTTGGAGTCCTGGCACTGCCTGACACAGGGCTCGTTGCAGCTGCTGCCCAGAGGGGTGGGGCCGCAGGGCTGGCAGGGCAGGCGTGGCAGGCACTGGTCGTAGCAGGACATGTCTTGTGTCTGGAGGGGCACCTGTTGGCACAGAGGATCAGGAGGACACAGAAGAGAGAGAGGAGCAGTTTGTCATGCCAGCAGGAGAGAGCCGAGGCACTGTGCTCGCTGAGGAAATGAATGCCGTGTAAGGAACCTCATGTTTTTTTACTTCCCTTTGATACCAACGGTACTGCCCAATGTGCAACAGCTGTCTGCCTATGCCCTGCCTACGATGAAGGCACTTGCATGCATAGAGAAATCCCAGAAGATGAGGGGGTGGTGGAAGGGATTTGGACTCACCTTGTTTGCAGAGAGATGGAAGCAAGGAATGGATGAGGGAATGAGGAGATGAATATACTTTTATAATGTTCCTCCACTGCCTCAGGCCCATTATCGCTCTACTCAGGCAGTAATTTTCCATGAGACTCACCTCAAATGCAAATAATCCTTCCTAATGGTGCAGGTTTTGGTTTTGTCTCCCTCAACTCTGCAATTTCATTTCCTCATTTTTGACATGTCTACTATGTCAAGATAACTTCCTTCAAGTGTTGCGTGAGTGATCTAAGGATTACTCCAGTACAGCAACATCACAATCAACAGAATAGGAGCAGAGAGTGAAGGAGCAGGTGTGTTCAGTCAGTGGACAGGGCAGGCATGGCTTGGGAGTTTCCGGAGGAGGAATGGTTGGTAACTCCCTTAATAAGAATAGAACCAACTCCTCAAAGCACTACAATCTGCAGTCATGCACCTAAGTCTTCTCTTCCTTTACGGATATGCGACATGGTTCATTCTACTCCCTCTCCCTTTAATCTGACAGTCACTAGCCATTGTGCAGCAAGATCAAAACCTCCAGCCATCATGGTATCTGCAGGAGGAGCAACTCAGCAGGATATAAACAAACCAGAAGATTTCTTTTCTGTGGAGCTTCCTTCCCTAAATGACAGAGAAGCTCTGAGGAGAAGTGCTGTATTGCACCCCATCCTCACTGAAAAGGATGGTGTCATGTTGAATGTGAATGTGAAAGGAAGCATTGGCATCAGTGTCCATGAGATGGTAGCGATGAATATCCTAAAGGCAGCAAAGTGGTCACAACAATATCACAATTGTGGACTTCTGGAGAGCTGAAAGAGGCCATTTCAAGAAACCAGAGGGTAGATTATCGTAAGACCCCAGAAGAAAGAGAAGCCCATGGAAGCTGGTTAATACACAAGGATAACCTCCTGGAAACTCAGGAGAGTCGCATAAAAAAAAAGAGTTCATAAGGTAAGTGTAGGGAGGCCTGCATGGGGAGACAAAAAATTCTTGGCCAAACACAAACACAAAAATACGAAGCAAACGTTGGTGACTGGGAGAAGTGTCCAAAGACTGGAGGAAAGGTCATGTCACTCCTTTTTAAGAAGATCAAAAAGAAGGAGCAAAGAAGCTGCAGGAGTGTAGGCCTCAGTCTTATGGACATGATGGAGCAGTGCATCTTGAGAATCCTTTCCTGGCACATGAACAATGCACTTGAGATGCATCTTTCACCCCTAGTGACGTGTTTCTGCAAGGAAACTCCTTGTGCCTGTCATCCTGGAACTTGAAAGGTGTCCGCGCAGCCAATTTGTGAAGGTCGGAAAGAAGGAAATGAAATGTCAGGGTTGACAGAAACAAAAACCCAACCTGTGCCATTAGGAGGGAGAATTTACATTTGAGGTGAGTCTCTGGGAAAATTACAGTGTGCGTAAAGAGACGGTGGGCCTGGGGCAGTGCTGGAGTGGTATAAAAGCAGGCCCAACTCCTCTCTCAGTCATTCGCTCCTCTTGCCTCCATCTCCCAGGGAACGAGGTGAGTGCAAAGCCCTTTCACAACCTCTTCTTCTTTGGGGATTTCTCTGGACGTACAAGTGTCTCCACGTAAGGTTGCGTTTTGGGAAAGCAGCCTACTGTGCTAGGGGGAATGGGGCAGCACGTGCGAGCTGGAGAGATGCTGGGTCTTGCACGAGCTGTGCTACGGGCTAGGCATAAACTCGGTAGCGATTGGCGGTACCATTGGAGCTTTAGGGAAGAACTGGAAAACAGATTTCCTTACACAGCCTCCATTTACCCAGCCAGCACAGTGCCTCGGCTCTCTCCTGCTGGCATGACAAACTGCTCCTCTCTCTCTTCTGTGTCCTCCTGACCCTCTGTGCCAACAGGTGCCCCTCCAGACACAAGACATGTCCTGCTACGACCAGTGCGTGCCACGCCTGCCCTGCCAGCCCTGCGGCCCCACCCCTCTGGGCAGCAGCTGCAACGAGCCCTGCGTCAGGCAGTGCCAGGACTCCAACGTCTTCATCCAGCCCTCTCCCGTGGTGGTGACCCTGCCCGGACCCATCCTCAGCTCCTTCCCGCAGAACACCGCCGTGGGCTCCTCCACCTCCGCTGCCGTTGGCAGCATCCTCAGCTCTGAGGGCGTGCCCATCTCCTCTGGAGGCTTTGGCCTCTCTGGCATTGGCAGCCGCTTCAGTGGCAGGCGGTTCTTCCCCTGCTAAATCTGTTGCTGATGGCCCTGGAGGAAGATCCCCAGGGTGCACAAAATCTTTGTGGGACTTGAGACCAAACGATGGAGCTAGTTCGATCACGCTGCAAATGTGATCCATGTCCTCCTTCCTTCCCCCTTTTCTCTCTCTCCTTTCCTTCCTGTGCCATTACTGATCACCATCTGCTCCTCTGGGCAGTCAGACCCACAACACCAGCGTAGGGAGGACCTGATGGCCCTTCTCCCGCTGTGGAAAGGGCGGATGGATGGATGGCAGTTCACCCATTAGATTCATGCATTGCAGGCTCTCGTGTGTTTGTGGTGCTTCCTGAATGTGTGGCATCGTTTCTCTCTTTTGCCTCAATAAATTTGACTGCATCCTAATCATTGCCCGTGTTGTTATCCATTCTCCTCTGGAGCCTGTGCCATGATGTCTTTGGGGAGAGATGTTTCTCTGTAGTCATTCTGGGAAGTGGTTCTGACTGCTGATCTGAGCAATTGGTGAGATATCTCAGGAACGTTCACTTGAACCCAGGGGCTGAAAGGCCTACTGCCTGCCTTGTCACGGGCATAGATTGATCTAGTTAAGTCCGTGGCAGCTCTGAGAGTACAAAAGTTGTACGTGGAGTGAAGTCTGGATGGCATCAAGCCAGCAGCCAACCAGGGCTTTGACAGAACCTGTGTGATGATGGCCAGCTGTGTCCTGTGACTATTCTGCAGGTGCCTTTCCTTGGCTGCCAGTGCCTCTGCAGCCTTTGCTGCTGGACACTGCACTTTGTTGGAGAGCTCCCGAATGGCCCCATAAGCCAGTGCAACGTCCCACATATGCAAAAAAGAACCCGCCAGAGTCTCGGTCGCTCCTCACTGTCGGTGATATAGAGATTACAATAGGAATAGGAGTAGGAGAGATGAGAAGAACTCTCGTGTCAAAATAAGTACAGGGTAAAGCGGGAAAGGAAGGGGTGTGAAGACGGCCACTTGTCAGATCCCAGCAGTACAGCCCACTTCTGAGGAGTGGCTCCTTTGGGAATTACTCTCCCCGGTTTAATTGCTGCGCACAATTTGATGTGTCATGCAATATCCCAAGGGTCAATTTGGGCCATCCCCTAATGTGCTGTCCTATCATAATCTTCTATCCATTGTGGTGGTTTCTGACTGATAGCCAACAGAGGTTGATGGGACCACTCTCTCACTCGCCGTCCTGAAAGAAATAGGGGAGTGAGAAGCCTGAATGGGAAGAGAAGGCTCCGGGGTTGAGATAAGATGCAGATAATTAAAGGCAAGCAAAATGGGGAGGCATGCAGAGGCTGCATGGAAGCAAAGAGAGAGAAAACAGGTATGTTCTTCTTCCCATCAGGAAGTGATATTCAGGCATGTCTGGGGATGCACGGCATCCAATTCCTTAGGAGTGGTAGGAGAGGGCAGATGTTTTTGCAAGAGGACTCTCCTGTCCTCCTCCTCTTTGCTCAGCCTTTCTTGCTCAGTGTAATGTGCCATGGCCTGGAATTGGCCTTGGATCTTTTGGCGCCAGCTGCCCTGTTGAGGCCTCCTCCCCACTGCTTGCCATCCCCCAGCATACGGGCTTTGATCTGAGATTGGAGAGAACCTTGATGCTGTGCCTGCAATGCTCTGCAAGATGCAGTGGTATGATATCGGTCACAGATTCACAGATTTTCAGAGGTTGGTACTACATCTGGAAATCATGCGTTTCCAAGCCCCTTGCTAAAGCAGATTCCCCTCAGAAGGTTGCTGAGGAAAGTGTCCAAGACTCTGACTCACAAGAATGGGAGGAAGGAGGACCCGAGGAACGGTGGCCGGTGAGTCTCACCGCTGTGCCTGGGAAGATCGTGGAACAGATCCTCCTAGAAGACGTGAACATGAAGAAGGCACAAGAGGGATGAGTGGGTGATGGCAGATAGCCATCATGGCTTTGCCGGAAGAAGGTTTTGTCTTAGCAGTCTGGTGGCCTTCTGTGATGGAGTGATGTCATTGGTGAAGAAAGGGAGAGTGGCCAATGCCATCTACGTGGGTTTGGGCAAGGCCTTTGACGTGGTCCCCCCTCCATATCCTTGTGCCTGAATGGGAGAGATACGGTCTTGTGGGGTGGACTATTCAGTGGGTAAGGTAATTGGTTGGTAGGCCAAAGACAGAGGGGTGTGGTGAATGGCACTATATCCAGGGGGAGGCTGATTATGAGCAGTGTTCCCCAGGGGCCTGTGTTGGTTCTGGCACTCCTTCACATCTTCATCGATGACCTTGACGATGGGCTCAAGTGTACCCTCAGCAAGTTTGCCAATGACACAAAGCTGAGTGGTGTAGCTGACGTGATAGAAGGAAGGGAAGCCATGCAGAGGGATTTTGACAAACTCAGCAGGTTGCCCGTGTGAACGTAATGAGGTTCAACACAGCAGAGTGCAAGGTCTTGCGTGTGGGTCTGGGTAACCCCAATTACGTGTAGAGAGTGGGAGAAGAACTCTTTGAGAGTAGCCCTGTGGAGAAGGTCCTGGGTGTCCTGGTGGATGAAAACGTAAACATGAACCATGAGTGTGCTCTTGCAGCTTGGAAGGCCAATGGTATCCTAGACTCCATCAGAAGAGGGGTGGCCAGCATGGATGGTGAGATGGTTGTTCCTCTCTACTCTGCCCTTGTAAGACCCCACGTGGAGACCTGTGTCCAATGCTGGGGCTCCCAATACAGGAAAGGTGTGGAGCTGTTGGAGAGGATCCAGAGAAGGGCCCCAAAGATGATTAGAGGACTGGAGCAACTCGGAGACAGGCTGAGGATGCTGGGCTTGTTCAGCCTGAAGAGGAAAAGGCAGTGAGAAGACCTCATTGCAGTCTTCCAGTATTTAAAAAGGGGAATTATAAACAGGAGGGGAATCACCTTTTTACAAGGGTAGACTGTGATAGGAAAAGGGGGAATAGTTATAAGCTCAAGGAGGGAAGGCTTTCATTGGATGTCAAGGGGAAGTTCTCTCTTTCCGAGAGAGTGATGAGGTGCTGTAACAGGTTGCCAGGGGATGCTCCATTCCTGGAGGTGCTCAAGACCAGGTTGGATGGGCCCATGGGCAACCTGTTCTAGTCCCAGATCTGGAGGTTGGTGGCCCTGCCTGGGGCAGGGCTGCAGAACGCGCTGATCTGTGTGGATCCTTGTGACCCAAGCCATTCTGTGATTCTTTGATTCTGTGACAGAGAGGCAGCACAGCTTGAGCTGAAGGGCAGGGAAAGTGTGGGACTCGTGGACGCTTTTGTCAAGTGGTAGTGGCAGTTCTCTCCCATGGGAGCCAACTGCTCACTGTTCCAGCTTAGTCCTGGTGGGGAAAGGGTCGCCACGTGCCTCACACGATCTCGGAAGTCTCCAGAGCAGCTGATGATGTCCTGCTGTCACCTGGAGTGTTTGCAGAGTAGAGTGGTGATGCAGAGGCACAGACTGAGATGCGGCACAATTTTATTGAGAGAAAAGAGGGGAACAAAGTTGCTCCAAGGGGTGGCCAACATTCAGGAATAAGCAGGGACAGAGTCGGCACTGTGTGGCCATGGTGGATGTCCCACCTGCTGTCCATCTGCCTTTTTGGCAGAGGAAGAAGGGCCATCCTGTCCTCCCCAAGCTTGATTCCTGGGGTTGACAGACCAGAGGGGCGTAAGTGACAAACAAGGCATCTTGAGGCAAAGGAGAGAGTGGAAGAGGGGAAAGGCAAACATGGACAATGCTTCCGGAGCGTCCATGGTGGATCTGTTCATTTGCAAGAGTGTTAGCATTGCCTGTAGCCTACGAAAACAAGATCCTGATGGTCCAGTGCAGATCTGTGAATAAATTCTGGGTCCTGGGAGGTCTTTTTCCAGGGCCGCTGCCAGCAGCTTTAGCAGGGGAAGAACCGCCTGCCACTGAAGCGGCTGCCAATGCCAGAGAGGCCAAAGCCTCCAGAGGAGATGGGCACGCCCTCAGAGCTGAGGATGCTGCCCACGGCAGCGGAGGTGGAGGAGCCCACGGCGGTGTTCTGCGGGAAGGAGCTGAGGATGGGTCCGGGCAGGGTCACCACCACGGGAGAGGGCTGGATGAAGACGTTGGAGTCCTGGCACTGCCTGACGCAGGGCTCGTTGCAGCTGCTGCCCAGAGGGGTGGGGCCGCAGGGCTGGCAGGGCAGGCGTGGCACGCACTGGTCGTAGCAGGACATGTCTTGTGTCTGGAGGGGCACCTGTTGGCACAGAGGGTCAGGAGGACACAGAAGAGAGAGAGGAGCAGTTTGTCATGCCAGCAGGAGAGAGCCGAGGCACTGTGCTGGCTGGGTAAATGGAGGCTGTGTAAGGAAATCTGTTTTCCAGTTCTTCCCTAAAGCTCCAATGGTACCGCCAATCGCCACCGAGTTTATGCCTAGCCCGTAGCACAGCTCGTGCAAGACCCAGCATCTCTCCAGCTCGCACGTGCTGCCCCATTCCCCCTAGCACAGTAGGCTGCTTTCCCAAAACGCAACCTTACGTGGAGACACTTGTACGTCCAGAGAAATCCCCAAAGAAGAAGAGGTTGTGAAAGGGCTTTGCACTCACCTCGTTCCCTGGGAGATGGAGGCAAGAGGAGCGAATGACTGAGAGAGGAGTTGGGCCTGCTTTTATACCACTCCAGCACTGCCCCAGGCCCACCGTCTCTTTACGCACACTGTAATTTTCCCAGAGACTCACCTCAAATGTAAATTCTCCCTCCTAATGGCACAGGTTGGGTTTTTGTTTCTGTCAACCCTGACATTTCATTTCCTTCTTTCCGACCTTCACAAATTGGCTGCGCGGACACCTTTCAAGTTCCAGGATGACAGGCACAAGGAGTTTCCTTGCAGAAACACGTCACTAGGGGTGACAGATGCATCCCAAGTGCCCGAGGCATTCTGTGCTACAGGCACAGTACGTGTCTCAGGGGAAATGTCATGACTTATTTGTAACCACCTTATCAGCAAGGAAGGCATGTGCTCCTACCAGTGCAGCCCCTCTCAAGACACCCAGAGCCTTTGTTGCCTGCATTCCCATTTGGTCCTTCTCCCTCCCTGCCTGTCCCTCAGGCTGCTCATTCCCTCGAAAGGCAGGTGGGCAGTTCTGCTGCTTGCAAATGCCTTTGCACACAGCTTACTCTTCTAGGAACACGATCAAATGTTCACTGGCCATCATGCACTCCCGTGGCAGTTTCTTGGTCATCGGTCTACCCATGCCATAAGCTTTTTTGTGGAACAACATTTCCTTCCCGAGCCTTGTGCTTTCAGAAAAAGTCCCATGGAATCTGGCCACTCCTGTAG